AAAGGAAAAGGATTGCGAAGCAAAGGATTAATTTTAATTATCACAGTTTTGTGTCGTGCGGGGAAACGTGCGTCGTCGTCTTCGCAGCTTTAAATGGGTATTCAAGTACATAGGGAAGGTCACGAGTCGGATTTCACGGAAGGATAGAAGAGAGAGATGCCGGGGCTGAAGGATTAAAGTTATTTTCGCTGTCAGCAGTCCCCGTCGCTTTATGATAGTCATTTCCAGGTGTATAAAGCCGTCGAGACTCCACGGTGGCGCGAGGTTTCTTTTACGACTACTTACCGACAGAAATGCGACGATTTTAAACGAAAAGATCGGTATAGAATATATATCACGTAACATCGTCAGAACGAGCTACGGGATTTAATTCGAAATAAAATTTCTCTCACAATAATCGCGCGAACTTGTCAATTTTCTCGCACACAATTGTTTGCCTAAAAAATTTTATATAGAAACATTGCGCAAAGAGAAAATGCATATGTATACGTATACGCGTAAATATTATTTGCTTTTCTCTTGTTGTGGAAAAAAAAAACTCTCGCCTACATATGTACGTTTTGTTGGAAAAGAAACTATCTGTGCGCGCGATTCATGTGCCGTCCATTTTGAGGAAACGATATTTCAACGGCACGCTGTGCGAAAACACGCATTACGAGATTAAAACAAACAACCGGGCTAAGTAAAAACGGGTGCACGTGCCGCATTCTTTGTTACGTTTGGCAAACAAATAGCGCAGTAATGCTTTTGTGCGATGTGCAAGGCGAATCGTCAAAAAGAAAATTGTATATCGGCATTTACATGACAGAACATATTCGCTGCACTTGGCTCGAAACAAAGTCTGAGGAAAAAAAATTCTTTCGTTATTTTGAGCGCAGATGAATCTTTTGTTTCGAAAATTTTCTGATTAGATCCTCGAGAGAGATGAGTGAAAAAGAAGAAGAAAAAGAGAGAGAGAGAGAGATGGATCAGATGTAGATCGATATTTGTTGGAAACGCGGCGGAAACGTTCCTCACATATTGTCCTGCGTTATCGTCGAAGTTTCTCAGCGTTTTCGGCTCCGCTATTCTGCGCGCGTGCATATGTGTGTATGCATGTATGCGCTCGTATACCGGGTGTGTTGCGGAAAAAGTGTAATTTATTTATTATTCGATGATTTGAAACGCGATTTGTTGACAAAAATTCGTGTTTTTTTTTGCTATTTCGACACTAACACACGTGTGAAAAACGACAAAAGAAAATTTTCAGATTTGAAAAACCAACGCTTTCGATAATGTTATTTAAATGCGAGTTCGAATTAATTAAAAAGTTTTACAATTAAACTAGAGAGAAGCCGCGCTATTTCGTGCAAAATTTTCCCGTTGTGTTAACGTTTTAATTACCCTGCGCGCTTTATTCCCACTACGTGTAATCTCCACGCTTGCGCGCGTGTGTATACACACGCGACTTTCATTATCTCGCGTACCCGCGATTTCCGATCACTCGGTATAAGCGGACGAAACTCCGGGAGTCACAATCGGAACATACTTTCCGATGCGAGGTCGGCTTGGGGATATGTCGACGTAACATTCGGCGAAAACTTTTGCAGCTCGAGTGTGCGAGAGCGCTTTCTGTCTTGCAACGTTTCCGAAAGTACCGCGAGCTATCAAGTAAACACATCCGTTGGACTCGACCTACTTGCTCAAGATTTAGAAGATAGTTTACAGTGATCTGTCAATACGCTGGACACTTGCCCGAAATGAAATACTAACGAGAAACATCAAAAAGATGCAAAAACAGCAGCGATTTGAGTGCGATAAATGACCGGAAACACGTGTACCAATGGCCGTACTCTTGTTAAAGAAATAATTATACAAAATTTGTGAATAATAATCATAACAAGTTTTAATAATGACAATGTTTTAAGTATTTTTAAAGATACTAGCACAACACAGGCGCGCGCTACGCGCACGCTATTATTGCTTTTATTTTGACGTGTAGTGTGAGTGAACTTAACCTGTCACCACAATGACAGCTAATATATACGTCCTACAAACAATATAATACACATGATGTACATATGAGAGATGTCAGAAATAACGGATGAAAATCAAACTCAAAAAATAAAAGAAAAAAGGGAGAATGGAAAAACAACACGTGACTAATACACACACACACACACACACATATATGTATGTGTGTATATATATATATATACCGTAATCATGTGACCGAAGTCAGTAACACCGCCGCGGTCGCGCGGCCGAGATCAGTGACCCCCCCCACCAAGGCCGCGCGGCCGAGGTCAGTGACCCTCCCCTCCACCAAGGCCACGCGGCCGAGGTCAGTGACCCGTCAAGGCCGCGCGGCCGAGGTCAGTGACCCCCCCCCACCAAGGCCGCGCGGCCGAGGTCAGTGACCCGTCAAGGCCGCGCGGCCGAGGTCAGTGACCCCGCCAAGGCCGCGCAGCCGAGGTCAGTGACCCCGCCAAAGTCGCGCGGCGGAGGTGACATTACTGTAGTATGTATATAATAAATAAAGTATAATAATAAAGTATAATACAATATAAAGTATAATATTATAAATATATAATAAATTATATGTATAATATGTGTATTATTTAATGTTATATATAATATAAATTACAGTCACGTTATTTTCACGTGTTGTTTTTCTACTCTTTTCTGTCACGTGACTTTAGTTACGTTTTTAATTTTCTCTACATATTCTAACTTCACACACATATACTTTGGTGTAATTATTTCTTTAATAAATATTTCAAAATAACAAAAACTAGAGCCAAATATGAACGTCGAAAACATGTTAGTACGCAAACGTTTGTATTTATCTTAAAACGTTTTGACCTTCGAATGAGAAATCATCTTCGGAACAAAAATATAAAATTTCCTGTAAAGTATTAAAATATAAATAATCTTAACCCTTCAGTGCCAGACATACAAAGTGACCTACAAGTTGTTCAGACTGAGTCTGTGAGATCTACGAGACACTGGTTTAAAACTTTTAAAGAGTAAATCTCAGAGACCCATATCTGGCACTAAAGGTTAAAAAACGAGACTAAAGTAAGGTGACAGGGAGGAGAGGAAAAACAATACTTGACTAATGTCATGTGACTTTACTTTAGTCACGTGTCTTTAAACTAAATAATTTTTTAACAAATGTTTCGATCACTAGCACTTTGTTTGATCATTGGAACATTTGCCGTATTTTATACGCCGCTTTGATGTTTATACTCGTTTTATCTACGATTATTACAACTGATTCGACGGTTACGCGAACGTTATCGCGATTAGTTATCGATAGACTACAATAATTTTGGAAACATTGACAGCGCGTTCAAAAGAGGAGCGGTCAATGACCGCGCGCGAATTTCAATATTTTTGTCAACAAGAGAACAACCACACAAGCATTAAATATGTTATATTTCCGACGGTTTTCATCCGAGAGATTCATAGATACGAGTATTATACCACGCTGATTTAATACTTCGAATTCGCAAGAGCGTTTAACATATCGCGCAATGGGATTTGCAATATACATGATCCAAAGTGTTAATTATTTCAAACAACGTAGAGACCAATGGGAGGCCGCTATTATCTCTAGACACGATTAGATTAATCCTTAATAATAAATTAATTAAGTATGATCAATTATTATATGCGCACTATTTAACTGGTGCGCGATCGGATTTGCTGTTTTTGTATATAAGACCGTAAGATTGATTTTATTCAAAAGACTTTAAGAAACACGTAATCAAAGAAGTTAGCTTTTAATATATTGATGTAGTTAATTACGCAACCGTGTAGTTAATTATGCAGCTGCAGAGAGGAAGAAAGAGATAGAGAGAGAGAGAGAGAGAGAAACTCGCGAGATTGTTTCAATTTGCGCAAAATTGGATATAAGAAGGGGTTAATCGTGTGCACTTACCAACGCGCTCAATTTACCCCGACATAATAGAGAAATCGCCGACTCGAGTCGACAAGTTCTCGAAGACTCCTTGAATTTCTGACCGGGCGAAATCGTCGTTCACCATCTGCTCGTTCGTGTTGTATCGTTCTCTCGGATCGGCGTTTTCCGTTCCGCGCGCCGAAACCGACCACCACCATGCTTTCTCAGCACCGAGAGAGGGAGTTTCGTTGCTCGAAAGTTTTTCCTCTTTCGCACCTACATCTTACTCACCCGCTGTTTGATTCGGAATATATTCTCGGCATCTCGTATTTTCTCTCACTTTATTTCTTTTATTTACCGAAAGTATCATTGCTCACGTCCCCTTCTCTGTTTTTGTCTTTTCTCCATACACGTTCGCGCCCGAAGAAAGTCACGTCACACGGAAAATGTAATGTGATCGATTTGACTGCGCGCCGCAACCTTAAAGTTTCATTTCTCGCTCGAGTTCTCGAAATAGAAAGCTCCGAGCATCGATCAACGATTTATAAAACGGCATCAAGATTTACAGAAATATTCAATTTGGAAATTAGAGAAAGAGAGAGAGAGAGAGAGAGAGAGAGAGAGAGAGAAGAGGAAGGGTTGAAAAAACGTCTTCTGATCTTCGATCGCCGAGGCTTGTCCGACGATTTTTCATCGCTTCTTGTCGCTAATGTTCTTGCTGGCGATGCAACCTGAGCGCAATTGCCGAGTATGCACCGACATCGTTTGTTCCTCCTCCACCTCGCCTTCAGCCCTTTAACGCTACAGTCGACCGAAAGACGGACAGACAGACAGACAGGCACCAACGCGAAGAACAACCCTCTTGCGCCGCGTTTTCTTCTCTCTTTTTCTTTTTCTCTCTCTCTCTCTCTCTCTTTCTCTCTCTATGTTTCTCTTTCTCTTTCTCTCTGTCTCCTATTTCCCTCTGGCGGTCTCTCTTTATCACCGAAACGCGCGACTGCGCAGAGAAACGGCGCGAGGCGTCGGCGTCGACGTCGTCGTCAGCGTCGGCGTCGGCGTCATGCCGGGGGCGTCGCACCATCGTCGGCAGCGAGCGTCTCGACCGAGCGTCGCTTCGTCTCGCCAGGCTAGTATCAAGCCGGGAGCCGTCGAGAGAGTCGATCCACCACCGGAAATCGGTCAACTGATTACGACTACCGACTGCGAGAACGCGACGGGGTAGAACATATTTACGGTAGTTCAACGCGCGTTCGACGTGCACGTCCGATTTCCGCCGAAGCTTCCTGCGTAGGAGAGAGAAAGCGAAAAAGAGAGGAAGATAGAGAGAGGAAGAGAGAAAGAGAGAGAGAGAGAGGAAAAAGAAAAATGGAGCGCGCAGCCGGATCGATCGCGATACAAGCGGACGGCTGACTTGTGAGTGAACCGCGAGCGAGTAGTAGTCGCCTTGACGGCTTAACGAGCCGATGTACTACGCGCTGTGCCGGCGCCATTGAAGGCTATACCACGAGAGAGAGAGAGCTCCACACCACGTCGGGGAACGGCGTTGTCGTCGTCGTCGCGAACGTGCCGAGCGATCATCCCCCGGTCTCTCGCGATTCTGCGTCGCGACGTTGGAGAGGGAGGGACAGAGCTGGTGTGTGGTGAAAGTGCTCATCGCGTGATTAGGTCGAGGTCGTGTCGCTCGTCGCTGAGACCGCTCTCCATCCGGTGACCTTCGTGCGGGAGATGAAGCTCGAGGTTAGGTGACGTTTCCGAACTTATTACGGAACTGATCATCCGGCGAGAGCCTCTCGGCGCCGTCGTTTCCGACAAGCAAACGCGCGCGTACATTCCGCCGAAGAAGTCGCACCGTAAAAGTGTGTCATCGACGCGACGCAACGCGAGGAGGCGACCCGATATAGTTGGATCGCGGCTAAGCACCCCTTCGATACGGAAGGGAACGATACAAGGAATAATTCCCTCGACGCACCACCGGCCGGATTTTGCTGGATTGTTGTGCACAAGTCGGTTTCAAGAAAATTCTCTAAGAAAATTGCGGAAGTCGTTCCAAATCCGATCTTTCTTTCCAAAACACACGCAGTTGTTGAATTATCCATATCCACGTATATATATATATATATACACATATACATATATGTATAAAATAACATATTCTCTCTCAATAGAAATTGTTGGCGATATATTCGAATAGACAATTCAAGTACTTTTTCAGCGAGAGAGAACGAAGTTTGTACGAAGTATTACGCTATTCACTTTCGACGAGCTTAAACTCGCACTACTCGCTGGTTGTGTGTTATCTTCGATGTTCGAATGTAAACCCGATAAAAAAAAAATTTTAAAAAATAATCCGGTCAGCTTCTCGAATTCCTGTTAGAAAATGAAAACTATTAGTCGTGTTCCGCGAAGAAAGAAAACTGACGAAACATCCGACTGAGATCTCGACGTTACTTCTTCGATGTCTCTTTAACGTAAAAAAATGCAATCGAGTGACTGTGACCAAGATTGTTAGAGATATTCCGCAAAGCTACGATGCTGGTATGAACAAATTGAGCGACGCGTTAGGCGGTGATTCTATTTGATGTCAGAAAAAAAGAATACACCATCTCTCTGTTCGTTTGATTATAAGTTACGCGGACCCAAAACTCTCGACGGGTTTAATTGAAACGCTCCTTTTTCGGTAATCAATCTCTTGTGTCAGACAAATTGAAAATCATACGCGCGCAAGAGTAAAAAAAATCTGGTTATCTCTAGAAAAAAAAAAAAAAATTAAGTGCACTCGGAGGATAAACACTCACGAGAATTTCGATGCGTCCAATCGATCGACAGACTGAACTTGAAATTGAACATATCTAGAAATATCGACCTTTATTAAGGCGACGAGCGAATATTTCACGCTAATTGAAGCAATCATATTAGAACAGCAAAGTAAGAAAGTATCATCTCTTCTCGAGAATTTGAAAAATTCAATAGCAAAGTTACGTTAGCGATCGAAGATAAGAAACGTTCGTACGTTTTGACGAATTTGATAACAAATTTACGAAAAAAAGAGAGAGAGAGAGAGAGAGAGAGAGAAAGAGAAATATATCTTTCTGCAGACACTCGGAGCTAAAAGCACGTAAAGTTCGCAGACTGCATATCAAGCTACACGCGCGAACCGCGCGTGCGTCCTCACGTGCTCACACGGATGAAACTGGGTGGCACAACGTGGCCGACGTCACGCACCCACACCTCCCCGAACTCTTACGCGTGATGCGTACAAGCGCGTGACGTTATATACGCGCGTATACACAAATCAACCCCCACGCTTCGAATGTACTGCAGAACCTAGCGGCCAGTTTTTAGACCGAGTGAATCATGCATCCCTCGCGCTTGATGGCGCCGCTTCTGTTGGCTGCGTTGCTGGCCTGCCAGGTGGCACGCTCCTTTCTGCTGGAAGGCTCGTCTACGAGCTACGCGCAATTTCGCAAATGGAACGCCGGTCTGAACGGCACTCTGGAGTTTGAGTTCAAGACCGAGCAGGGCAACGGTCTGCTGCTCTACACGGACGACGGCGGCACCTACGACTTCTTCGAGGTGAAGCTGGTCGAGAGCGCTCTCAGACTGAGGTACAATCTCGGCGGGGGTGCCCAGATCGTTACGGTCGGCCACGATCTCGGCGACGGCCACTGGCACAAGGTGCAGATCACCAGGTGCAACGAGAACACCACTCTGACCGTGGACGGTGTCAGCGCGGTCTCCACATCGCGCGGCAAGGAGTTCGAGTTCGGCAAGCTCGCCGGGAACTCGGACGTTTACGTGGGCGGTATGCCCAGCTGGTACAACAGCAAGCTTACACTGTTGGCACTGCCCAGCGTGATATTCGAGCCCAGGTTCAACGGATTTATTAGGAATCTCGTGTATGCCGACGGCGAGAATACCGTTCCCAGGAGGCAGGAGATGAAGAGTCGGGACGCCAAGGTATGCGAGTACTATTTTCCTCATTCCCTTCCTCCCTGTTTCCTATTTCCTGTTTATATATATCAATTCGATACAACACTCGATTATTAAACCAAATCAATCCTATCAAAATCAATTCTCGACGTCTATTCGCATTCTTTTAAATCAGGTTGATATGATGGTAATAATATTAATGGTGGAATTACAAATATACTTCAACATTGTTTTAATTTTCCACTCTCGTAATCTATTGAATTTGGTCGAGTATTCATCGAACGTATTTTATCGCGAACAGAGAGAGAGAACATTTCCGCACATAGAGCCGAAACAAGGGAAAGGGTCATTTACTCGGGAATCGAAGGTCGCCAGCAAATTGGAAGGGCGCCAATCACGAGTTATCTGACAGTTCGATTTCGCTAACGGCCACAAATCTTGTCGGTGCGATTATAGTGGAAAACCGAAATATCACCCGAGCCCGAAAGTTACGAGTTCGGACAAATAATCTTCGTCGAGGTCTAATCTTTCTTAATCACACACACACACACACACACACACACAAACAACTATCTCTGGATTGTATACAGGCGCCAATACATTGATGACGCGGATTTTGCTCTTCGTGTGCACGTAGTACGTTTAATTTTGTTTTTAAACAAGAAGCAATTGAGATTGTTATCTCTAATCTCACGTTCCGAGAATTCACGACATGCGTGATTGGAAACGGACATTATCTTTGCATTCAGCTAGGATGTCATTGACCGTGCGCAACACCGCGCGACCGATAGCTGAGTCAGGCTCATCGAGAGATTCTTCTCCTGATGTGCTCTATGAAAGGCGCGTGCGCTCCGTCAGCACAAAAAATCGAGACTTTCTCTACCGCGCGAGTCGCGCGTACATACACAAGAGACTAAAAATAAATCCCTCCCATTTAGGAGGCTCCCTCGCAGCTTGTTTTATCGCTCACTTCCGACGATCGATACTCTCACCCATTGTTCCGAGAGGAACATCTTCAAGATAACAGCACTCCTCTTCTTCTTCTTCGACATTTGCGTGCAATAATTAGCGAACGAACAACCCGCGACAACCCGCTTTTTTCGAATAAAAAGTTTTGTTTTCCTCGGGAAAAAAAAAAAGAGAGACGTGTGTTTATATTTCTTCGGAGTGTTCGCATGTAAGTACTTATCGGTGTGTATTAACGATATCGTTAACAATCTCTCGAATTGGAGTTGGGTTTTTTTCTCGGTCAATTTATATTGTCAATAAGAACGGCGAGAGAGCGCAAGTGGCGTGCGGATAAAACGTATCCGAGAGATAACAAACACGAAACAAAAACAATTTTCTCTCCCTTTCTTTCTTGCGTCTCTTTTTTTTTTTTTCCGCACTATAATACATTCCATTCCGATAGTAGTCGACTGCTCTGGCATCCCATGCGAAATTTACTACGTGTTACCAAAGCACAGTTCATATTTCTCCTAATGGCCGTCTGCCAAGAATTTCTCTACTTTCCGATGTGTTTCGCGCTTTATCAAGTATTCTCGAAATCTCGTGCATCTCGGTTCCGAAAATATTCTCGGTCTCGCTATTGAGCAAAGTATAATACACCAGTCCGACGCGCTTATTGTTTGATAACACGGCACTTGATTTTCGCGGCACAAAAGTCGATCCTTTATATATACACAGGGTATATAAAGATAAAAATAACCGAATATTTTCTACAAACACGCGAGTGTTCGGTTTAACGAAGAAGAATTTAAAATGATAATTGCGCGTTAAAAAAGAATAAGAATTAATTAAATTGATAAGAGAATTTATAATTTTTATATTGTACTTTTTTTTTTTTAATTTTAGAAGTTTTTTTTTCAAATTTTGGTATCTTTGGCGTATTTCGCAACGTGGAATATCGCAGCTTTTAAGTAGAATGTCGTATTCGTAAATTTAGTCACCTGCTTGCTGCTCAATTGGCCACACGCGGCTACGATGCGCGTATCCGTTTACGATTAGATAAGGCGACAAATCGAGAATATCCGTCAGGAGGATCGCCGTGCGATTACCGGCGCAAACGATGTAACCCGGTCGACGTTATCGTTCTCCGTACATCCATACGTGACGTTGTGGCAACACACGATAGATAACCTAGATTTATCAGTTCACACAAGAAATTGCGCGGGCGACACGTTACATTTTGATTACTTGCATTTAATCGTTTCGGAGTGTTTTTTTTTTTTTTCTACAATATTAAAAATCATCTTCATTTTCTTAATTAATGGCGACGCTATTTTACATCGCCTTGCGCGCAATAAGCAAAAGTAGAGAGTCGCACGTGTATATACGCAGATACGTGCTCCAGCTTCGCTTGTCACATCTCTTCACTTGGAAAACTTGTTTACGTGCCAAATTCCGTGAGAAAACGCCTCTTTGACTGATTTGCTTTCCTATTAATATTACTTCCCGTCGTTAACGTTGTAACGCACTCGCGGCACGAAAAGTGATTATCAAACGGACGGCGGAATGAGCGCAATTACGTATCGCACCGCTATACAATCGTGAAAAGAGTGAGCAATTATACTCGTCACGGAAGCAATTATATTTGCGCGTACCTGCTGGTTAACATGTGCCTCCTCCCGTCTTCTCACACGTGACTGTTATTTGCAAAATGAATTACATAAACAGCTATCGAACTAAACGATAGTGCGAAAAGTCTGTTATTTATGTAGCCAATTTGAGCGATGTTATGTTGAGTTTTCGCGAACGTCGCTTCGAATGTCAAAAAGTTAGGAATTCGCGCGGAAGGGTTGGTTAAATAGGATTTTATTATTCACCGCGTTGCAGAGAGGAGGAAAAAAAAACGAAACACAGCCGATTAGATGACGATTAATCCGCGACGATCAATCAACGTCAAAAGGGGAAAACTTGTTCTAACAGCAACACTATTCCTCGACACTCTATTAATCACACTTATCTTTTTTTCTTTCCATTTTCCGATCTAGCATCCTCGAAGCCGCTGCAGCGCGAATCGAAAGACGTCCGTCTGGGGAATATATATATAAGTATATAGATATATATATATATATATACCGCGTTTAATTAATTACGGCCGTCTTTCTCAATCCCCGTGCAATCGGAACTTTTTCGTCGTTCGACCGTGTTTCTTCGCACGTGATCGCGCGCGATGAGTGACGTAAATGACTACGTACAACGTTTATTACGTTGACCGTGTCGCGGATTTATGAATGCGCGAATTCGCAGCTAATGAACTTACGCGACGATGATGTCATAGTTTTTTGAATCGCGATTTTCGATATTAAATCCTGCATTTATTAATGAGTTGAGTAATGCATATTAATGCGCGTGCATAAATAAATAAATAAATAAATATATATATATATATATATTTATATATGTACATTACTTCAAAGTGCATTTATTAATGTAAGCGCGTGTCACATAGTATAATACATGCGAGAGAGTAGCTACATGTATACATAAATAATAATGTTAATTTTTTTCTACATTCAACGTCAGATGATTTTATCTGTGACTGTGTGTATGTCGCGACATCCTATCGAGCGCATTTTGTATAAATAAAAAAAAGTCGTAAAAAAATGTATTTATATAAAAACGCATAAGATACTTTGAAATATGATATCATATGAAAAATTATCATATCCAAAACAGAGATAAAAAAAAAAAACCAACAAAATTCAAACTTCAGCCGTCCAATTAAATCGATATGTTCACAACTTTTTGACGGTTATATACTTCCCATTCCTTCGGCGAATCAGAAGTTAAAGTAATTTCCGGCCGCAATGATATTTAACTAAACACATATATATGAGCTGAGAACTCGGCGGCGTCGCGATAATTAATCGAGAAACTCGTTAATGAAGGCAGCTGAACGAAAACTCCGCGCACACCGATACGTAAATTTCATACGCACACACAGAGACACACACACACACACACACGATTCTCAGTGAAAATAACGAATACGTGTTTGAGACGGTGTTAACGAGCGAGCGTGTACACACGAATAAACGTACGGTCTCATCGCAATAGGAGGATCAAAGATACACACAGAGAACTGCGCGAAAGTTCATGCTTCTGTGAGAAAAGCGTCCCGCGTTTAATTAATTTTTATTGCATGCTGTTTGTCCCGGTTGTTACCTGGCCGGCAATAAAACATGTTAATGGATATGTACAATGTGTTCCTCTAATTTTGTTAATTCTTCCTTTACGCGCGAGAACATTCTTCCTTTCGCGTCCGTGCGAGAATGTTCAACACGAGGGATACTTTTCTTCGCGAGAGACGAAGTGTTATATGACGTACATTTTATATCTGTGGTTGAAAATAAATATTTACAAAAAAAAAACACGACGTAAAGGTGAAGCAAAGGTACGTAGGTGTGGTATGTTTTTTATTTTCATGTGTTTTTGTTTTGTTTTTTACTGAAACGAGATAAACATTTTACAAGACGTTTGGTGATCGATTTGACAAACGCAACGGAAAATTTACCAGAACACAGAGACTTGTACGAGTAGATCGACTTTATCGATGACGAGCGATGTGAGCAAAAATAAAATGATACGATCGGATTGTAGTTCATATGTTTCAGATTACAATATCGATATGTGTTGCGCGTTTTTTCTTGGCGCAATGGTGTATTGCACATTATGGTAATTATAGTTTTTGCGATCTAGTTGCTGTAATATCGCGTCGCGTATATACGTATTGCGGCAATGTCTTTTACATATTCTTGAGTACGTGTAATAGCAACACTCGATCGATGGCACAATTCGAGCTATATTATGCCGTTAAAGTTTACTTCGAAACCAGCGGAAATATTCGAAAAAACTTGGTTTTTAACGACCAATTAATTATAGCGAAAAATAAACGTCGTTCTTTTTGAAGTTAAATATGGGTAGATTATTATTATTATTATTTTTGTTTGATAAGAGATGCAAAAACTTGTGCTCTCACATTGTCATTGTCAAAAGATTGAAATTCTCATGAAATTGTGCGTTCGCAAAATTTAGACGCGCAAATAAAATGTGCCCTCTCGTCGGATCCGATAAATATTTTTAATGAAGAATTATATAAAGTCGTCGAAAATACATTCGAAATTCATTATCTTTTCGCATTACAATGCGATATAAAAAAAACACGTATCTCCATTAAAGATATTCAAATTTTCGCAATTATAAATGCAACACGCGCGATTAAAGCTCGTATATGCATAATTCTGCGTTTCAATTAAAACGTACTAGTTTCTTTTTTTTTTTTTCTATTCGCGCGTTTTGACCAACACGCACGTGCAGTTGCCAACCGTCGTGGTTAGAATGTCAGACATTAGTGCAAATCGACATTTTTTGGGGAAAAAACGAACTGAGATGGAAGCGAATGTAAGAGGAACGTGGTTGCAAAAGTGAATTAATTTCTATTGAACGTAACAAACGAGGGGAGGTCCGGAGCTCTCTCGCGTTCGCCATATTCGCGCGTCAACAACAAAAATGAAAATCCCTGTTGACACGCGGCGGTCCTTCCGATGATTTACAGTGAGCAAAGTCTCGTGTCAAACGCGAGTAAATATTTCACGGCAAATGCGCCGTTCACGTTAATCGAATGTGCCGTAAATTACTTATGGTTTGCACAAGCAGTTTATGGCGCCGAATTTGCATTGTGACGTTTACATTATTATTCAGAGCGTTATTACGCGAGAATTGTGCGAGAGAATTGCCGATCGATATATGTGCGCTCCTTTTACCCCCGCGCGCGCGCGCTAAAAACGCGAATCGAAGTGCGTGCTCAGCGCGATGACAGCTTTTGAGAGCTCGGGAACTCGAAACGTAATGTCAATTCCGTCTTGTCAAGAATTCGCGTTGAAAGAAGAATTGTCAACAACCAGCGCGCACGTCCACATCGAGGCGTTGATTAAAAATCGATTCGCGAAGAACGTCGCGGAATGTCGCCTCAAATATTCGCTATATGAATTTCGGTTACGCGCGTAGCTCGACATTTCACACTGATCTTTAATGTCGCGCGAGCTAACAATTAATTTCGTTCATTAAAACTCTGTGTGTGGGTGCGCGTGCGTGCGTGCGTTTTCTTCTAAAAGAGTGTTTTTTTTTGTTATCTTTATATCATGCTAGTGTGTATCATTAATTAATGACGGGATAAAAATGGCGTCGCATGAATTGTTCCCAGTCTCTCGCGATAATAAAAAAGATCGTAAGTGAAGGACAAAGAAAGCGCGACGAGAGAAATAGCATCTCGGGCCGCTTGAGATGGCGAGAACGGACGAAGACGTATCGATTATCTCGCTCGACTTTGCGCAAACGAGACCGCACCGCGGCACGAAGCGTGATCGGAGATAAAACTACGGTCCTAGATAGAAAGAAGTTGAAGTCTTCCCCATGGAACTTTTTTCCGCCCTCCGAGGACAAAACTCCAGGGACGACTTAATCATCGCGAAGCATGGCTCGAGCGATAGCGAATAAAATGCTGTTCTTTCCGTGTATAAATGTACTTGTGTGTGTATGTGTATACGTGTATATACTTCCTAAATCTTTTACGAAAAAAGAAACCGGTGCTGGTAAAGAATTGGATTTGTCACCTATTAAATTTTTTAAGGAAGTAAAACTTGGTCACGACGATATTTTTATTGCGCAAAAATAAAAAAATAATATCAAATAGTAAGTTAAAAGCGGTAACATAAAAATATATCGTTATTTTGAGTTACTTGCAAAACTTAATTTGGTATCTTCAATTTACACTTTTATTTTAAATATATATTTAAATGTATATATTTTTAGACATGCACATCATGTGATATGCACAATTCGCAATCGGTTTTTTTAATAATAGAATTAAATATATATATATATATATATATATATATATATTTTATATATTTACATACATATGTACTGGAAAACAGTGTGTTCTGGGAATATGTCGAGAATTTCGCCGGAAGCGGGAAGCAATTCTATTCTTCCACGTCGCGACCGCTCGGCAAATCATCGACAATAGCGAGCGTCTTTCCGTCGCGTCTTTCTCTCGTAATTCGTCCACCTTCCAGACATGTTCCGAATGTTCCTAAGTTTATATTTTCAACCAAAAACATTGGGTTTTCTCGCGCACAATGACGTCTCGTGCTTTGGCTTTATTATATAAATTTGCAATTATTCGAAAACTTTACACAATGCAAATTCGAGCGTCAGTGCATTTTCTTCGTTATTGAGAATAGAAAAAAACCTGTTGTTTTTTTTTAATTGCTTCAATACATGTAATATAATGCGATACAAAAAAAAAAACAATAAAATGAAAAACACTCGTGGTGGTTCGGCATTAATTAAAAAGGCATTAGAGAGACGCGGAAGAAAATCGTTTTGTATTATAAACAACTGCTTTGCCCGCTCGCTGGTGCAATTAAACTCGCGATCGCTCGACACGAGCGCTCGCTATTTTTGCGCAATAAAATAGTAAATCGCATTCTCGCGTATGCACGTGCTTCGTACATACATCGAAGTTATAAGTGCACTAGCTATTCGTGGCGACGCTCGTTTCGTTCTCGTGACCATCAACAAGCGAACGGAAACGTTAGACAGTTTCCTTATCTCGTCAAACAGTAAACAGATATAGGAGAAAGATATCAAATTATCGCGAGGTTGATCGAGCTTAATGTAGAATCGCGTTGTCCTTGATTTACGCGATCATACATTTGAGGGGAAATTGCGCGAGTGTTAATAGAGTCGGGTAATGATCTCAACGATGTGTAACGGATACCGCAATTACGAACTTTTTACACAAATTTTGTTCCGATAAGACATTTCGTTGCGACCCTTTTACAGCACACGCACTGAAAAATTCCGCTGTCACGCGAGCTTCATATCCTATAGCTCATACCACGCTATCGTGTATCGTTTATTATAATATAAAGTCAATTTATGTTTTTGGGATATTTATCTGGCCGTGATATTTTGCGCATAAAAATATTTTCCAGCGTGTTTTATAGTTATAGTTTAATATTTAACGCGCGGAAAATCTTTTTTCTGATAATTCACGTAATAATCATCATACTTTCTATCTTTCCGCATATTTATTTCGTTATTACATGACATAATTGGTAGAACAAAATCTTTAATATATTGTTCTATGTTTCAGTGCGGTGGCTTTCCGTGCGTCGAAAACGTCAACAAACGCAAGTCACCGAGGGTAAGTGTGTCAGAATTTGTTTTTTTCTTTTTTTTTTTTTTTTTTTTATGTATCAGGTCTAAGATATTATATTGAGATATTTTGATGTTCTGTTAAATAATAAAATAAACGGGCATGGCAAGGGACAAATTCAATAATAATAAAAGAGAGACTTTTTTTTCAGTCAGTATTTATAAGCTTTTATTTGTCTCTTTGAAAAACCGTTGAAAAAAACCGTTATACGTGCTAATAAACCGGATATTACACAATTTAAAAAATGCATCAGCGCGAGACGCGAGAGAACGGGACAAAGAGGCATTCGGTACACGCTGAGCTTTTTTATTTTTCAAATGGTTGTGCCATAAAACTACGCGCGCGCGATAAAGCTGGCAAACAGATTTCACGCGCGAACGAATACGTCCGCCTCGCGGGACGCGCCGATATATCGGCTCCTCGACCGGGCGTTGTTGTATACAATAATTTTTTTGCTACTCCCAACCAATGGCACGACAGCGCCATTTACGTGACACACACAATCGACATACGTACATTATGACTCGTAGATATAAACGGAGCCTGTGAATCGCCTATTTCAGGCGAGCGAGGAAGATTGTCGGTAAAGGACAAATAATTTATTGATGTGACAATAAGTCGATGCGACTTGACCTCCATTGCCGCTACGTCTTGCGATACTATAAACGGTGACTCTCTTTTGCACGCACAGAGTTGTCTCACGAAAAGTTGAGCCGAAACAGGTAGTTATTTCGTGTCGTAAAAATACAACAGACGAAACATTTTGCTGAAACATTTGAGAAACAACTGCGGTTAGCAGAAAAAAGAAAAGCACAAAGGTATTTCAAGAGAATCGTCGTTTAGTTCGATTCGGCTCACACACACACACACGTGTAAGAAAAATATTCCAACGATTAAAGAACATTTATTATAGAAATATTTATTAGATGTCATCAAAACATTAAAAATATTTCAAGTCTTTTTTTTATACAATTTTAAATATTAGTTCCAACTTTCATATTAAATTCTGTTATATGTAATTATTTTTTAAATAAATTCGGTCACACAGTGTTTGTCTGATCATTGGAATATTTATGAGGGCGATGTGTTGTTACAGTTTGCGTACAACAACAACGTTATATACTATTCAAAATCGAATGTGTACACAAAATAACGAACTATAGAGCCGATATTTCCTCGCTTCTCCTTTCCGCTCGTCACCGTAGCTATTCCCCAGAGAGATAGAGCGAAAAGCTCCGATCATTGCGTTTCCCATATCAATATGCGACACAGGATGGCCCAGTTTCGGCTTAATATCTCGCAAGCAACCGCATTAAGCCGCGCTGTGTGTGCGTCGTGTGTGCCGTGTTACGTTCAATCAGGCGCGTTCCCCGAATCTCCGAATTGTCAGTAGCAAACAACCTCTCGCGCGGTTTCTATACAACATGCATCGACTATATACGATAGAGGACGTAGTATGTACCAGCAGCGAGTCAAGTCACTTGGACCTAATGTCGGCATCGATGAGCTATTAAAGGGATTCGTATAATTCGATTACGCGCAACGAAGACGGTCGCGGAACGAAGTCGATTCAGCGCGTCGATCAAGAAGGTAGAGTTGTAAAGGAACACTGTTTTGAAGCCAGTAAAAAATATAAATGGCATTTTTAATATAAAAATTTAATTAATTATTTTTTACTGGCTTAATTTTTTTCACAAAATCCAATTATAATTCAATTGCGCGTAACGAAGATTACGCGCGTCGATCGAAAGGGCTTTTTAAAAGGACACAAAGAAATATATAGAAAAGATATTTTTAGTATAGCAATTTAATCAACTCTTTTATCGAACGTGCTCTCTGTCATTCGTGGAAAAATGCAAACAAACGTACAGATCTGCAAGCGCTTTCTTTTCAAAGTCGTAGGCCCCTTTAAAGTTGCGCCGCTTTATCGTTATTCAAAAATACGTAAATCTATTCGACAGCAAATAACGGCGCATTCGTTCCGAGAGGCGCGCGCGAGGTCACCTTTGTGCGCCCGAAAGACCTTCGAAGCCTTTAGTTGCCTTCGATGTCTTTTGTGTGACGGATAAATAAGCGACATGGCGCGCGACATTATTACATCAGGACCGAATCAGAGTCGCGCAAAGCCGGCGAAACGACATATCGTTATTCCTATCCTTAATGCGCGCGTGTTGTGTGCCGCGCGCGCGCGCTCGCGCTTAACGCAGTTACGTGTATTACGCTACCGTATGCAAGCAGTTTCAAGTCGTCTTCAGTATCCTTCTATCTCTCTCTCTCACTCTGTCTCTCTTTCTCTTTGTATTATCCTTCTCATCTCCTTGTATTGTTCCTTGTCACTTCCGTCCGGGGAAGTTGAGTCTCTCTCTTAATCAAGCAGCGGTGCGCACACATCTGTATGGAGAAATTTATGTATCATAAGCGCTTACACGAAGTGTCACAATCAAGATGTAACAACGGCAAATCTCGTCGAGGAGCAAGAAAGGAGAGAGAGAGAGAGAGAGAGAGAGAGAGAGAGAGAGAGAGAGAGAGAGAGAAAAGAAATGTTAATATAAAGGTAAATTTTTGAATGACCGAACGTTTTTATTAAAGAAGTAATTATTTGTTGTACACAATTCTCCTTCTCTCCCCGATTTTGCAAGTTCTTAAGTAGAATATAAACACACACACACACACACACACACAGTTCTGAGAGATGTTATATTTTGCGGAATATACGCAACGTCGATAAAATCGATAAAGTATTTGTTCAATAACGTTTATACACACAATTTTGCGCAACTTTGCGAAACACGCCGCGGAAAGACGAGAGAATAAACAGGGAGGGTGGAAAAGGGAGAAGGAGGAAGGGAAAACTATTTCGAACACGTTGCAACGCTTGCTTTGTCGAAAGAAGAAAAAAAAAATAATAATTTCCATAAATAGGGAATCCTGATATCAAATATTCCCGGAAGCAATATTGTTGAATCAGTGTCCGACCCATCTCTGATATTGCATCATCGTCCGAGATGCGGAAGCCATTATACGCGTTTTCCAGCTCGTTCGTAATCGCGTTACAAGATTCCTCGGAGCCGTAACATTAATGCGATCGATCGGACTGGGTGAATCGCGCGTTCCACGGAAGAGGGCTCAAATTATTCGTCGTCCGTGTAAGAGAGAAAGTGGGACGCGAGGGGGAGGGGATGGGGAAACGGGACAGAGAAACGGGTTGAATCGTTAGTAGAAATGAAAATAAATTGCCTAGAGCTAGAGGGCGGGTTCTGAGTATAGGCCGTTGTGCTAAAGTGCGATTTGAGAAATGGCGCGCGATAAAAATGCGCGACGCGACGTTCGTTATGTCGTTAGACTAACGCTTATTAGGTTAATGTATGTAGATTTAATTATTTTTTTTTTTTTTCAATCCTTTTTTCTTTCCTTCATCCGCGCGCTTTTTTTTTATCTTCGATATCGAAGGCGTCGAAGATCTGCAGATTGGCTTTATAACAAGACAGTTGTAAGCGTTTTTTATTTCGCGAGATCACATCGGATTCAATCTGTACTACATAATTCGATCTTCAAAGTCTTGTTCTCTTTCAGCGGAGGGCTGAGGATTGAGTAAAAAAATATGACGTAATTTCAACTCGAGAGAAGTCTGAACTGAGAGATTGATTGATGTAGGGAAAAAAAAAAAAAAAAAAAAAAAATTATGTATATTTCGGCCCTTTGACCAGAGAGCAAAATTGTTTTTAATGATAAAACAGCTTGCTTGAGAGCTGAGTCCTCGTTTTGAAACAGCGAGGCTTATCGAAGAGCTCTCTCGAGCACATTGAAAGTAATAAGCTATTTTCTATAATATCGCGAACTTTTTAATAATAAGAAAGTTCTGCTTGAAGCACCGGCTATTTCTCCTTCGTTTAAATATTCAATCGCGCTTGGTGGATTTGCTCCCCCCCCCCTCCGGAGGTAGTGAGCCTCTTGGTAATTTAGCGAATCGATTTAATACTCATCTCTTCGCTCGAAGATAAATAATCTGGCGAGATTATTGTTCGCTCAATAACTCTTTGAAACTTGTCAAATATTAATCTCTCGAATCCTTGTGTAATCGCAAAATTCCATTCTCGTAAAAACTCTCTCGGATTCGGTATATGTAATAGCATAAAATGTAACTGTCTGGATGTGTATGTTAAATGTTCCGCAACTGGTGTCTGATACGGACGTTACTTCGCAATAATATTTCCTCTCGCGCTGTGTAGGGAGAAATTATGTGAAGTGAAGATTATCCATTAAAACACAAAGCCGTGCTTTTCTCTCTGCGATCGATCGACGTGAGTCTCTTTCGCCTCCGAGCAGCTATACGTGCTATATATAGCAACTATATATGCATATATAGTTGTTACATGTATATATATTTTGTACATGTATATATATACACAACACGTATACGCTATATCTCTGTTTCCGTAATAGCGGCACCAAAATCACGAATTTCGTGTTTTGTTGTTTTCTTTCTCGTCCTAGTCTACAAAGCGTGACCGCAAAGAGGAAGTATATTACACCGGATGAGAAAATCGAATATCGATATGAAATTCTCTATTCAGTCAGGCCCGAAGCTCGTATAAGAAGTGTTGCGCGATTTCATCTACCGGCTCGGAATTGTAGACGAATTAAGGTCTTGGCGGATGTATATACCGCGAACTCAACGAGTTCAAATGTAACACAATGGAAAAAAAGTTTTGTATAGTTGTTATCAATGGCGCGACGTCGTTACCGTATAAATCTCTTGCTTTTCTTTTTCTTTACACACGCGATGTGTTCGAAATTGTCGAACTACAATCGCGATTGTAAGTCAACTCGCGCATACAGCTCTCTTTCGTTTGCCGACAGTATAGGCTCTTAAACATGTTTGCGCACGTAGTTTTTATTTTAGATTGCGTGACATTGAAATTTATTTTATTGAATCGTTTTATGGAAACACATTTTTGACACAGACGAAAATAGAATTACGGTAAACA